CCCCCCCCCGCCGTTGGAAGGCGCAGGAGCGCTCGGGAGTATGAACGGGGGAGTGCGGAAGTGCCCGTGGCTAGTGGGTGGACGTGCCATTGACCGCTCAACTAGTCAATTAACATCCTGAGTCTGCAGAGCTCCCGCTCACCCGCTTCATTTCCTTTGCCTCCTCAGGATCTAATTCCTCTCCAAGAAACATGTTGCATTAAAACAGGGGTGTCCAAACTTTTTTCAAAGAGGGCCAGATTTGATGAAGTGAACATGCGTGAGGGCCGACCATTTTGCCTGACATTCTTTGAACCATTAAAATTAAACACAAATTAACTATCTTATGTAAAGTTTATTGCAAACAGTATACTTTTCATTTCGTCACATGGATGACAAATCTAAACAGGTGTTAAATCACTCTGGCTTTCATATCTGAAGGCCAGATGAAAAAAAATCCAGGAAGCTGAAATATATGTCAGGAACATTGTAAAGTATATTACATATTATTGGTAATAAAGGTTGTCTGTCAACTTTTAAGTTCAAAAAATATGAACAGGAACATAACACCAAGTATACATGTTGTGTCCAAATATATTTATAACTGATTTAGACCAACTGACATTAACTGAGATTTTACAATGTATTCATCTCAACTGAAAAAAAAACTTGCCTGCACTAATGTGAAGGGTGAAACTGAGATCTGGACTGCAGCACAATTGGCCCGCGGGCCAGACTTTGGACATGCCTGCATTAAAACAACCAATATACAATGAATGAGTGGTTGGGGGGGCAGTTGAGGAAAGGTGATAGTTAATTACATATTTTTGGAAAGCAAAAACAATATATGTACAGGGTGTTTTTTGTTTGCCCACTTAAATCAGTAGTGGGCAAAGTATGGCCTGTTGAACCCTTCAATCTGCCCCCCAAGCTCCTCTAGGCAGGCTGGGTCAGAGCTGCCTTGGAAGGAGGTGCCAAACCGACTATTGGGCAGTGCAGCAAGCTTGTGGGGGCTTATGCCTTCCCTTCTGCCACCCATCCCTCAAAGCCTCAGCTCCCCTAGTGCCTGGGCCGCATGGTTGCCACTCCACCAGCCCTGATGGTCTGGGTGGCATGGCTGCAGTTCTGGACATCTGTAGTGCTCCGGGTGGTGCAGTCACATGGTGGGAAGGAGGGGAGGTTGGATAAGGGTCTAAAATTGAAGTAAGCTAAAATGAAGTGGTAAAGATAACAGTGCTAAAATACTTCTATATGAAATATTTCAGCAACTTAAATACGTAGGGGAAAGCCTAGACATAAAAGTTATTCCTTTCACTCCTCAGAAAATCAGATAACCGGAGCAGTGTTGCCTTACCTCACTAAATCTGAACTTAAAGACTTAGGAGTTGGGTAAGAACAACTTTTACTAAATTTTTTAGAGTGGTTCCTGTGTGAGAAATTTTGGTGATTTAGTAACTTGGGACTTGCTGTTTCTTCAAGTGTCCAAGGCTTTGCCTATGTCTTAAATAAAAACAAGTCGTGAATGTGGTGGTATAAAGCAATGTTTCTCAACCTTTTTTTTTTTTTTTTTTTTTATAAAGTACCCCTTTTAAAAAAAAAAATTTGTAAGTACCCCCCAGTACCTACAGGTTTTCAGACACACAATTTTTTTCTACTATTGCAACACATTTGTTTAAACAGCTTAATCGTAGCCAGGCGGGCAATTACTTTTTTGGGTATAAAAAGTACAAAAATAATAAAGCACTGTAAAACTTAAAACAAAAATTCAGTTTTGTCCAAGTTACAGTTGTGTTGATGTAGCCCCCCCCCAGACTTCTCTCAAGTACCCCTACGGGGTACTCGTACCACTGGTTGAGAAACATGGGTATAAAGGATCTGTTGGTACTGACCTTCACTGAAACTAACCAAACTTTAATAATACATCTTGGGAAAGACAAGTCGTCATCACTTGATTGACTGCAAATGTTGTCCTTGATTTCTGTGGCATGATATTTTAGTATGTTGTCTTTGTTAGCTCACCTCTTTTTTGCTATTGTGTAATTTCAGCTATTCATGTCAAGGCTGACAACCTGTTATAAGTGAAACACCTTGATATGTTTGGAGAGATGTGTGAAAGGGTGTATTTTGTAAAAAACGACTTGATCAAAAATAGGAGCTGTAATTATTTGAAAAGAGATATATAAGCCAGTTGTTTAAACAGAGCTAAAAACTGAGGATTAGGGATGTAAAATCCAGTTTAACTGGTTAACGGGTTAAATGTATTGTTTAATCAGGTCCCTGATTAAAGGGGAGGTGGGCAGGGGGTGCCGCTCCAGCCAGTTTGGGCTATAGCAAACCCCCGTGTCTCATGCAGGGGCTGCCCCTGATGGCAGAATATGTAACTTTCCGAACTATTAGAAAAGAGATGTCAAAACCATTTACAGGGAAGAGAGGTTAACTAAGCACAAGGGAGGTAACTAGAGCATAATTTGGATTGTTAATCTGTAGTTGCATATATATTATCAAGAGTTGTGGATGCTGGTGTATTTCACGTGTATGGTTCAGTGCAGAGGTGCTGCCCTGGAGAATTGGATTCTATTCCTGAACTGCCACACAGTCCCTGTGTGATGCTAATCAGTTCAGTTTAACTTTTACAGGTGGTCACGCTGCACTCATTTTCTGTGGACTGTAATTTTCAGGTTTTTTCCTTGCTCAGTTCATGGCTCCAGGCTTTATTTACTGTGTACTCTTAAATCTTAGTCTCAAGATGGAATTATTAACTTCCCAATGGGCTTTTCTCTGGTGCTTATCTCTACATTATCTGCCTTATGCGCAAATACTGATTTTCACAACACACTTCTGAGGTGAAGAGTTGGTCTTATAGAGATGGGGGCAGAGAAATTAAAGTCAAAACTGTCCACTAATTTTGAGTGTCGAACTTGAGATACTTAAGACCTGATTTTTCAGAGAACTAGGAATTAGTATGTTCAACGCTTAACTCTCAGTGACTGCAGTTTCAGTTGTGCTCAGCACTTACGCAAATCACACCCACAGGTCTAGGAATAAATGGTCAGCATTCAGAATGGAGACAAGTAAATGGCTGTGTCTGTCGGGGGTCTGTTCTGGGACCAGTCCTGTTCGACATGTTTATTCATCAGTGATCTTGAAAAAGGGGTACACAGTGAGATGGCAAAACTTGCAGTTGATATAAAACTACTCGTGATAGTTGAGGCCCTGGCAGACTGTGAAACGCTACAAAAGGATCTTTCAAAGCTAGGTGACTGGGCAAGAAAATGGAAGATGAAATTGAATGTTGATAAATTCAGTATAAAGTACATGGGAAAGTACAATCCCAACTGTACATTTGGGATGTGAACGGGTAATGGATGAACTGGTACTGGGGAAGTTAAAATGTTTGTTTGTGTGAAAATTTCAGCAGTTACACATTTACATGCAGGGAGGAGCTGCCCCTTGCCCCCCCACTCCTTCGCTGCTGCCTTTGTATCAAAGGCAGCAGCATGGGGTACCAGTTGGGATATGGTATGTGAGGGGAGCCAGTTGAAAAACCAGCTCCCCTCGCGGACTGGCTGGCTGTAGGATATATCTATCCGTCCTCACTGGAGCAGAGACTAAAACGAGTTCCACTTCAATGTCAATAAAACAGATTCTAGTTCCCAAAGAGAACAGAGGATCATGATCTATTTCTGATCTAAGCCAATTTAACATCTGAAAGTGTAAAATGCCACCCAGTCAGATGGGTATCAGGAATTTCCCGTTTAAAAGAAGGCATGTGGTTTGTGGCTCTGGACATGAGATGCTTATCTCACAACTGTTCCTCGAGCAAGACCATTACCTTGGGAATCTGTATCAAATACGAAAAGTCAACTTTGACTCTTACAAAGACCACAGATTTAATTGGACCAACTCTGGTCTTGACTGCAGCTAGAGCCCAATCAAGAAGCTCTAGTCAATAAGCAATTTGATATAATAGGTCATCCTCAGACTACAGTCAGGATCTGCCTTTCCCTTCTAGGCAGCATGGCCTCATGTATCCATTGAACACCATTTGCCAGGGTCCATTTCTGCTGCCTGTACACCTGGCTTTAGTGCATCTGCTCACCAGAGACAATATCAATGTTAGAGTAACAATTCAGGCCAGGGTTATGGCCTGTTTCACTTGCTGGGCAAATCTGAAGAAGTTTGGGTGGGAATTCCTTCCCCCACACCTACACCTGAACCAGCTATCTTTGCTGATGTCTCCTTAGGCTGAGGAGTCCAAGGTCCCTTTGGAAGGCCAGGATGCAGTTTCACTTACCATAATTAAGTGTAGTCCATCAGGCCTGCAATGCATTCTGTCTACTCATCCAATCCTGACCTATCCAGGCAATGTTGGACAACATGATGACTGTCTTCTACATAAATGGGGAACAAGACAACCAGCCTTTTGGAAGTGATGAATCAGAAACCACATAATCTTGTCATCAGTGTATCTACCGAGGTGCAGAAATCTCTAGCAATCTCAGCAGATGCTTTTCCTCAGACTACAAATGGGAGAGTCATGATTCCGTCCTGAATCCTGCAGTGGGGCATCCAGTCTTTAGATATCTGTCTTATACATGAAGAAGAAACTGCCCTTGCTGCTTCAGAGCAGCTCAGGCCAAGGCTCAAAGGGCAATGCTTTAGCTACCCTGAATGGGTCACCTCAGATATGCCTTCCCTCCCATTCTACTAATACCACAAATCCTATGAAACATTTGTCATAATACTGGGGTCATCTTCATCACACCCAGGTGGCCAAAATAGATCTGTCTTTTGGACCTCCTCAATATTTAACCTTCTCCACCCATCAATACCCAACCATTTCCAGATGTGCTGGTGGAATATAGTGGTGTAACCAGGCACCCTAACCCACATGCTTTATAATTCAGGGCCTGATATTTGAATGGCAGTGGCCATAGAGCGCTTGTGTTTAGTTGCAGTTCAATCCTCCTCAACCAAAACAGAAAAGATTCTTCCAAGATGGAGATGCTGTTCATCCAAATGAAAATATTTTTCCTCTTGATCACAACAGCATAGGTTATCTCCAGAGTCTTTTATTTTAGATTATCTACTTACCTGTAAAATGTTAGGTCTATCATTTAGTTCCCTGTGGATCCCCTCACAGAAATCACCACCTTTCACCATATAGCGTAAGGGCCAGTGCATGCTATTTTTACTCCACCTAAGGTAACTTGATTTCTGAAGGGACTTCTTAAAACTTTTCCACCAATGATAAAAACAGCATCTCAATAGGGATCACAATTTTCATTTCTCACCAGAACTCCCTTCAGACCATAAGCCATGTGTTCTGTGACCCACCTCTCAATGACAGTTGCCTTCTTGGTCACCATCATATCAGGTGGAAGGGTGAGCAAGCTCTTTTCTCATAAAGAGAAGTCGTCTTCACTTCCATCTGAAATTCATTCCTAATGTAACTTTGGAATGTCACATGAATCTAATCATCCACTTGCTGTTCTTTTTCCAAACCCTCATGCTTCCGATGAGGGGAGAACTTCGTTCCATAGACCTTTAACTGGTGTTGGTGTTCAGAAAATGAAAGCAATTAGAAAGATATTTAAACTATTGATCACCTTGGGAGAGTTGCTAGTTGGTCAAGCACTGTCCATGCAGAGACTCCAAGTGGATGTTGGGATACACTCTAATTCAGTGGTCTCCAACCTTTTTATACCCAAGATCACTTTTTAAATCTCAGAACAGACAAAGATCTATTGCCCTGCCCCTTCCTTGAAGCCCCGCCCTCTTTATTCTCCTCCTGTCCATCACTTGCTATCCCCAGCCCTTACACACTCTGATAAACAGCTTATTTTTAAATTATGCAATATATACAATTAAAATCATGTGTTTATAGTTATGAAATGGTCTTTTTTATTCATGCTATTGAAATCTAAAATGAAGCATTTATAATTATACATTTTGTGGGGACAGAGTACTGCGGCAAGGAGAACAGGTTTCTGCAGCTGAGGACAGGGTGCCAGTGGGGACAGAGTTGGGGGAGTGGGGACAGGGGAGTGGGGACAGGGGGTGGGGTGCCAGTGGCAGCAGAGAGTCCCCTGCATCTGCCTCCTCCCAGGATTCCCCCCCCAGAGCGAAGCCAGCATATGCCTTCTCTGTGGGGCCGACCTCTCACCCCCATGCAGGAAAGCCCCAC